TTTTACCTAGAAAAGGGCATCAAGATGAGGTTAATTATTTTGATTTGTTCATTCTCGATTCATTTCTCATTGGCCGAAAGTTAGATTTTCCCACAATTGCTTTAGGTCTTATGAAACTTATCCATACTTCTCGTTATTCCAAAGCTTTGCCCTATGGTTTGCTTTTAACAAAAAATTTCAAACACTTCAATGTCTCTTTTGAGGGTGAAGCCGTCATCAAACCTCGTCCCACCGATACAATCAATATTCAAACCCTCAAGCGTATGAAAATCTTTAAAACTCAAGGACAATGGGTAGGTTACACTAAAGGGTTTGACCCCGCCTCGGGTCCTTCTACATTACCATTTAAGGATGAAGAAGAGGCTGAAGAAGACGTCCCATTACTCTCTCATCCACCACCAATTAGCACATCTTCCTCTTCTACCCGAGGATTCACTTTTACCGAGGATCAGTATAATTTACTCACCGGGCGTTCGACTCTCTCACGATGTCGGTTGATGGGCTTAGTGGTGTTCTTCAGAATGTCCAGTCACAGCAGGCCGCGATTCAGACTCAGCGGGATGCCATTATTGCACAGCAAGCTAAAATGCAAGCTCAGCAGAATGCGTTCTATTCTCACTTTTATGCACATTTTCCACCACCTCCTCCGGCGCCTTAGTTTTTGTTTTTTATTATTTACCTTATGCATCTTTTAGTGTACTCCCGAACTCATTATGACTTTATCTTTTGACGTTTTGGTTATGAAATTATGAACTTATGTTACTTCTCATATTTGTCATTTTTTTGATTATGCCAAAAGAGGGAAAATATTATGAGATGATTTACATGATTTGTGATTTGTCAATTATGAGATGATATACATAATTTATAAATTATGATCAATTATGAGATAATATACATAATTTATCAATTATGATCAATTATGAGATGATATACATGATCTATTAATTATGAGAATACATGATTTATTATGATGAGACGATGTGCATGATAGGAATGCTTAAGTAAAGGGGAATACACGTATAAAAGATAGGGGGAATTATTTCGTTATTTTTATCTCCATCGTCTCATGTTTGTCATAATCAAAAAGGGGGAAATTGTTGGCCTACGGCTGATTTCTCGTTTTGATTATAACAAACATATTTTATTTAACAATTATATTTAAGTGATTATAGAAGTTTACAACAAGCGGAGCTCCTGCAAGTTTGGACAAAGTGGAAACCAAGCTACATATCAAGACAACGATCCCTTCAAGAAGAAATTAGAAGAAAATATATTTAGACACCTTGATTTCAAATGTTAAGGTAAACATTTGGCATATACGTCATTTGAAACTCAAGCAACATTTCTTCGCACGACAAACTTGATTTTGCATAAAGAACAGCATGAACCTATTACATACTTTAAGAAATGTCAAAAAGTCCGTAAAACATGTTGGAAACATCTTTCATAAAATTACATTTTACTACATTATTTAAAAAAAGAAAAAAATTCAAAAAAAGTGTTGTTCTAGAGGACGCATCCGGTAGGTCTAGCGGACGAGTCCGGTTATTTTAGCGAACGTCCGGTATGACAGGTTTGTCCAACGGTCAAAAAATCGAACGTTCTGACTTCTGAACAAAAAACGGTTACTTGACCGCCTGAAAGATAGCGGACGTCCGGTAGAATAGAACTTTTGACCGTTTTTGTTGCTATAAATACTAGATCACTTTGCATTCAATAATACACTTCATATGAGCATTTAAAAGTGAGATATCACTAATCTATCTACTCAAGCACCTTTATACATCTATTTCTCCAATCTATTTATTAGAAAAATATTTGATTGATCAAACTTTTGAAAATCATTCTTATCAAAGTGTTTTTCTTTTCTAACACTTGAGTTTCAATCATTGCTATCTATTAAAGCGTTAGCTATCTTCTCTTGTTGTATTCAACTTCAATTATATTATTTATTGCAAGAGAAGTCTTCACTTGTATACTCCTTATCTTTCAAACTTGTGGGTTGAGTTGAAGTCTCGAAAATTTCAACATTGTAAAGGAACGATACTCCTTGCTTGTAAGTCACCAAAAGCATTGTAAGAAGGTTGGATTGCAGCATAAGTCAATCAATATAATGAAAAAGACATTGCTCGTGACGGAGAGCTTGGTAACGAGGGACGTAGATCGTGATTGGATCGAACCTTCTTATTACATCGTTTGCACTCTCTTTTCCCTTCCTCTTATTACTTTTGTGTTATCTTGTTTATTCATAATTATTTGTTTAAATTTGCGCTTATTTTCGAAAAAGGATCGAATAACCAATTCACCCCCCTCTTGGTTAGTTGTTCTTGGGCTTTCAATAAATTCTACACATTCCACACTAATAATAACATAATAAATACAATACTCGTGCAACACAAGAGACAAAGGCCAGTAATATTAAACATTTATTTAATTTGACGCTGTTCAATGTTTTGCATCGTCCCGGAAATGTGAAGGGTCAAGAAACGACTTATTAGTAAAAATAGTTAAAAATAAAAATGGTCACAGAAGTTGAAGGTTTATTTAGCGATTCTATTTTTGCGCTTATGGATTTTTCAATCTTCCGGTTTTTCATTTCATAAAGCCGAAGCCAAATGCAGACTAATTCTCAAATTTTCCGATATAATCACGTTTAGACAACATTGCTTTTTACAAATATTTTAAAATAATTTAGAAAATAAATCATTAAATTTCGACAACATTTCATATCTTAAAAGATTGCTTCGACGAGATGTAAGATAATAAAATATTTAATTACTTTAGTATATAAAAATATTTTAATGCTTTTTTCTAATTTAAAAATGACTTTTTTCAAATAATATATTATTCGATTCGCAAATTAAAAATCGAATTAGGGTTAATTTAATTTAGAAGTACATAAGGGTTAGTTTATTTAGAAAATATATCATTCGATCAATAATTTGTAATATTTATTACATATTTACTGCGAATCCTCAATAAGTTGATTTGGAATAATGATGTAGTTTTTAAATTGCGAATCATTAATGCTATTTTTCAACAATTAATTCCGTTATAGATTCCTTGTCCCCATTACCTAGAAATAGCTACAGGTCTCCAGTATTATTATAGCAGCCAGCATTTGCTGCAACATTATGATGATAAGATCATTAATTCTCTGTTGTGAATTATTTAAAACAATTTAAAGGCTATAAAATTATACTATGTTATAAAAACTCTAGTAATCCTATAACTACAATCAATTTAATACATTTTATTAGTATTGATTAAAACTATTGACATAGAATTACCTGATTCATATACGTCTAGAGCAAATATGTCCAAATTTTCCATTCACCCTATTCTTTATTCAATCAACTAATTGAGCGTCAAACAACGCTGGTATAGACTAGGACGCCCTATCAAAATCCTTGATTGTCGGGGGAAAAATATCTCAAAGTATATTAGGAACTTTGCCCTCTTGACTTGATATGTTAAGAAGTCTGCAATCGATATTATCTTTTTTGAGATGTGATTGCAAGTATTAATATTCCTGGCTTACGAGGTAACTTGTAGCCTTAATACTGACAAATATATTACGATATATCTTCCAAACATATTATAAACCTCGTAAACCAAACTTTTATTTCTTCAATGAAAATTTGTTTCAAAATGATTAAAAAATGAGCTGCAAGTGTTTGAGCCACATGCAACCCTCGTTGCCACTTGCCAGGAAGAAAGTGAGCAAAGTAATAATATAATCGCTGATCACAAAAGTAGAGATCAAATTAAAGAAAACTAAAAATTGGATTAAATTATCAGCAAATCATTAATCATGAATGTAAAGGCACAATCTATTTAATCACACAGAATGTGCAATCCTTTATATAGTTATGGCTTGTTTGGCAACACGCATTGTGTGGTGCCAAACAGGGACGGACCTGGGGGTCCTATAGGGTCAATTGACCCCCTTTGCTTTTTTTTTTTTTTTTTTTTTAGAATGTGAAAATTTAAAACATACACTACAAATATATTATGCAATCGGCATCTCAAAACTCAACTTTGTGCCGTTGTCTCTCTTTCAATTTGTCAACTACGGACTGTCATTACCATTTACGATTTACCTATCATTTGAAAGTTTGATTGTGACCTCATAACCCGAAGTTTCTGGGTCTGCCCTTGGTGCCAAACGAAGAAAATGAAACTCCAAAATATGATACTATGTACTCGAGATCGATTGATGGTAGGGGTCCGGTCCTAACTACAGCCGAATTATAAACAATTAGACATTCTTTGGAGCATTAAATTGTAGCACACAGAGCTATTAGGCCTCAAAGAATTGAATGTCCAACTTGGAGGTGTGGGTGAAGGTAGTACTTTAATCAACTACTCTAAGCAATTGTCATAAATATAATCTGTTGAAAATCCATAACAACAAAAAGGTAGTATAAATATAATATATTTAATTTTTATTCCATAAACAATTATCAATCTCACAGTAAAGGATTTTCCAGGCAGCAAAAATTGGAATCTGAACGTTTCTGATCATTCAAGGTGTTTTCCAGCTGGACTAGTCTCCAATAGGTCCACCATGGACTAGCAATGTGACAACACTGGTAAGAGGTGTCACAGCTTGACCTGAACTCGCCATAGAGTCGGGCGGTTCGCCCCAACAGCTGGGTTGTGCAAAACATGACATTGACTAAATGTCACTCGGGTTATTTGAAGATAGCTGAAGAGGTCAAGTTTTGAAGGCCCAATACGAACCACATGCATGTTTGTTTGGAAACAGGTGATCGGCCATTTACATTTTTTCAAGGCATTTGGGTTGAAGAGCAATTATTGACAGTTCAGTCTTCAGTTGGACTGGTCATGGTCCAATTTCCAGAGCAAAATTAGGCACAGATGTCAGATGAGTACACATACAGAGAGAAACCTGCCTAAATATTTACACTTGGGTTTCAGGGTTCCTCTTCCATTGCCCATTTCCCTGAGTTCTTTATGACCAACTTTGGCTTCTCTGATTGTGTACAAAACCGTAATTATAATTCAAATACACCATCTTATAACACAAAACAACAAAAAGGACTAGCCCTATGCCCAAGAGCAAACTATTAAACTAAGAACATTATGGTATTACACCATTTACTCTGCAGCTACTTTTAGAACATTTATTCAGTATTTTATGTTCAAACCTCATGGATCCAACGCACATATTAGATTCTCCTGTCTGTCAAGCTTGTTTATGAGAGAGAGATGTTTTCTCTGGAAGAGTAGTAGAGGGCTACAAGCAGAAAACTGTTCTAGGTAAAGTGAATTGTTTTGAGTAAACATTTCTTTTACCCCTCGGTCTTAAGTTTGTTCACTGATGGGTTCCAATAATCTATGGTACTTTTGCTTCTCTTATCATAATATAGATCAAAGAAAGAAGCTTTATTGCTTGAAAGATGGATTTGTATCTTATATTTTGATTTTTTTTTTCTGCACTCATTGTCTGAACAGTAAAATCTGTCTGAATCTGATTCTGAGAGGCCCACAATGGAAGAAGATGAGGCATGAATTCACATGTAAGATCTCCTTGTGCTGTTCAAAAGTCTTAACCGTTGCATTCATCTTCTCAAAGTACTCAGTGTCAGCCACACACAAATTAGAGCAAGAATCCAACAGGAAGACCAGTTTTTCTAACGTCAATGGTGGTCAACTTGGTTCTTGTGAATGCAACTCAAAACATGGCGGGGAGACTTCATCCATCTCAGTATTTAGACATTTAACTTGGTAAGGCGTTACATTTGTTACAGAATATCAGACAGTATCAAAGATTAGACCTTACCTGTGTTCCTTGCCACTTTTGAGACTTCTCAACCACCAGACCAAGTTTTTGGGATTCCTTATTAGTACGTCGAATATGGATGAAGAAGCAACGTGGTCAGCAGAACCTCCTAAAGAGATCCAAACCATTAATGCCAAATCCCTCACCATCAAGATAGCAAATTCCTGCAAGAAAAATGGTAAAGAAATTCGAGCTAACATTGTTCCCTCGACCCTAGATTCACTGTCAAAGGATTCGATAGAAAATTCAGACGCATCGTCTCCGTATAACTCCTCACTCATCTCCCCTCCATCCTCAGCATTTGTTTCAGCATTACAATCACCTCATATTTCTCCGAGGGCCAATGTAGTTATAAGTTCAAATCCAACCCAGGAAAGTCCTACACCAGCCACTACACTCACTCACCTGTCTCCTCCGGAGTCATACGGTGGATCACAGTCAGATGACATCCCAAGTACTTCCTGCACTCCGCCTCCCAAAATATGCAACTATTCTGATGACCCCGCCAACACAAAGTGTAAAATTGTGAATTGTGTTCCAGTTTCAGGTCCAGACACAGCTCCTCGTATTTCATTTTCATTTCCGGTTCCTCGAATCTCCTTTGCAAGAGGTTCTGTGTCACCTGCATCCAATGCCAAACTTAGGAGCTGTGATGTTTACATAGGCTTCCACGGTCAAAATCCGAATTTGATACGGCTCTGTAAGTGGCTTAAATCAGAGCTCGAGGATCAGGGTATTGCTTGCTTTGTTTCAGACAGAGCAAAGTACGCGGATGATCAGAGCCATGAGATTGCTGACAGGGTTATTTGCTCTGTCACCTTTGGAGTGGTGGTTGTCACCGGTTATAGCCTTCTAAATCATTTCAGTTTGGAGGAGATCAGATTCTTTGCACAAAAGAAGAACTTAATTCCTTTGTTCTTTGACACTGATGCCAACGAAATTGTAAGCCTTTTCAACTCGCTTTCTGATAATAAGGAATGTAGGGAAGCATTGGATGGACTAATGAGGTCTCATGAATTCAGACTGGAAGCAAATGATGGTAACTGGAGAAATTGCGTGTCAAAAACTGCTGTGATATTAAGGGGAAAGCTTGGAAGGAAAAGCATGGCCAAAAAGAAAGTAGAAGTTTTTGAGGAGTTGCCATTTCCAAGAAACAAATACTTTGTTGGGAGGGAGAAAGATATTATGGAAATTGAGACTACATTCTTTGGATATGGGGATTACTTGGAGCAAGAATGTACCATGCCAACTATTAAAGGAGGAACCCCAGGGCAATCTGAAGGTCTAGCAGATGAGGAATGTGAGGTCGATACAGTTAAAGGAGGCAAATACATAAGTATGGAGGTTGGCAGGTGCAAGGAGCCAACTTTGGAGGCTTGGTCTGAACCAGTTATTGGAAGAAGTTCACAGAGAAGACCAAAATACATGAAGTCTAGAAGTGGGAAAAACAAGAGCTTTGGTAGCAGCGTCGTGTGCATAAACGGGTCACCAGGAGTTGGAAAGACAGAGATTGCTTTAGAATTTGCATACAGGTACTCACACAGATACAAGATGGTTTTGTGGGTTGGTGGTGAAACTCGGTATTTCAGGCAAAATGTACTAAACAAATCGCTCAATATGGGGTTGGATGTGAGTGCAGATGCAGAGAAGGTAAGAGGGAGGATCCGGAGCTTTGATGAACAAGAATCTGAAGCATTCAAGAAAGTTAAAAGGGAGCTGTTTCGGGACATTCCTTATTTACTGATTATTGATAATCTAGAGACCGAGAGGGAATGGTGGGAAGGAAAGGATCTAAACGACTTAATACCGAGGAACACAGGTGGCACACATGTAATTATCACAACAAGGCTCCCAAGAGTAATGAACTTTGAAACAATTCAACTTCAGCCATTGCCATTTTCTGATGCAATGACATTGATTAGAGGAAGAAGGAAAAAAGAGTATCCAGCTGCAGAACTAGAAATCCTCAAAAAGTTCGATGAGAAATTGGGCAGGTCAAGTTTTGGATTGTGGGTGATTGGTTCACTGCTTTCTGAACTTGCAATTACTCCATTGGCTCTGTTTGAGGCTGTGAACAATGTCCAATATGAAGAAGCTACTGGCTGCTCCATTCCAGATCAACAATTTTGTAGAACAAATATTTTCCTGAAGAAAGTATTGTCCTTCTGTGCTGCCGTGTTGCGTCAAAGAAATGGGGGGAAGAATCTCCTCGCCTCGAGAATGCTTCAGGTCGGAGCATGGTTTGGCCCAGCTCCCATTTCAGCAAATTTACTGGCCACGGCAGCAAATTATATACCTTCCACCAGAAACAAATTGAGAAAGTGGACTAAATGCTTGAAACTCACTTTCTGTAGTTGCTCTGGTTGTTTAGCAAGTCAAACATGGAAGAGTGAAGAGGATTCAGCACTTCTCTTGGTTAAACTCGGTTTGGCACGGGTGGCCAATAAACAGCCTGGATGCTGGATTCAGTTACACAACATCACTCAAACATTTGCAAAAACGAAAGATGGTTCAGTTGCTGCCAAGGCAACAGTTCAAGGTGTAAGGAAAATTGGAAATCCAATGGCAAATTCTGACCACCTATGGGCTTCAGCTTTCCTTGTCTTCGGCTTTAAATCTGAAACCCCAATTGTCCAGCTCAAGGCAATTGACACGGTTGTCTTTATCAAGAAAACAACTCTCCCTCTAGCAATAAGCGCCTTTACAACATTCTCAAGTTGCAACTCGGCCTTAGAGCTTCTGAAAGTCTGTACAAACCTGCTGGAAGAAGTTGAGAAGTCATTCGTGTCTCAGATACAGGATTGGTGTCACGGTTCTCTTTGTTGGAAAAAGGCACTGCAATCGAATCAGAGAGTGGATGAGTACGTGTGGAAGGAAGTGACATTGCTGAAAGCTATGCTGCTCGAGACAAGAGCAAAATTACTGCTGAGAGGAGGCCGTTTTGACAGTGGGGAAGAGCTGTGCAGAACTTGCATCAGTATCAGGACAGTGATGCTAGGCCACAACCATGCTCAAACATTAGCCGCTCAAGAAACATTAGCCAAGTTAGTAAGAATGAGGAGTAAGATATGACGATTGTATCTCAAAATATTATACTCTTATACACGGTTGGGCTTGATTTTTTTCATATTGTAGTCAAGCAGCCATTGACTAGTTAGCTTATTATAAAATCCTGATTCATTATACTCTCTCTGAATCATGGGATCAACTGTTATTTACTGTTAGGTAAAACAAACTGTTATCCTAAGTTGATTAAGTATTGGATATATATATTCATGGAGTTGTTGGTAAAGTGTATTCGACAACATTCATTAGTATTAACAAAGAAGAATCTAAAATTTTTGCCAGGAATCAACAAGAACCATGACACCAAACACCTAACTCCTAACCAAGAAATACTATCAATCTTCCAAAATGTCTTGTTCCTTTCTCCGTAATTCTAAAACTTACTGCAGAAAAGATACGGCATACACAAAATAACGGGCAAATCAATAAATAATTGGAGTCGGTTGATTAGTTACCACGGTAGTGTATATGAAACTCCAGCACTATATGAGGATTCCAAGCAGTCCATTCGTAGGCGATCAACCGTTAGAAATCGAGTAGTATCAATCAAAAAACCCTTAAAACTCCATTAAACACGGTAAAAAAAATCACACACTTTTCTTCTTCGTCTTTTGAGATAACATAAATCAATGATCAGTTAAATTTCGACGAAATCAAATTTTCAGCCATGAAAAACTGAAAATTACGCGGAATGCAGAATTCCCTCCAGGCTCATATACCGAACATCGCGAAATAATATCTGAAGCTGGAGATTTTTTTTTTTTTGATGACGGGAACCGCAGCATCCTTTGGATGTGGTATGTAATACTCTCCCAACCACGTCGGTCAGATAAACTGTACTAAACAAATATTGTACGGCAGGCTCCATCAAGAAAATGGTAGGGGAATCGAACTTGTGATCAAAAGCCTCTACAGCCACTTACTTCACCAATTCAATCACCTCGCGTGAAGCCGGAGATTTTGGGTCTATAAAAAGTGGAATTTGTGCTCCATCACTAATATCTATAAATACATGACTATTATTATTTATGTACGATTTTCATTTTTTCAATTCATGATTTTTTTTTTTTTTTTTTTGATGACGGGAACCGCAGCATCCTTTGGATGTGGTATGTAATACTCTCCCAACCATGTCGGTCAGATAAACTGTACTAAACAAACATTGTGCGGCAGGCTCCATCAAGAAAATGGTAGGGAATCGAACTTGTGATCAAAAGTCTCTACAGTCACTTACTTCACCAATTCAATCACCTGGCGTGAAGCCGGAGATTTTGGGTCTATAAAAAGTGGAATTTGTGCTCCATCACTAATATCTATAAATACATGACTATTATTATTTATGTACGATTTTCATTTTTTCAATTCATGGTCTCACGCATAAATTGATTAAATTCTCTGATTTAAGCATCGAAGAAGTTACGAAAACACTCGACACTTTTGTTTCGAGTATTGAAAAATCTCGCTCTCGATCATCGAGCACTTCAAGTTTGGGAAAAAACAAGTGCAATTTTTGATAGCATCATTGCGGAGTTCGGTGTGATATAGGTAGACTTCAACGGATTCCCAGCAAACACTTCCAATTAAGCACCAACGACAGCTATCTTGCTCGTGTTCATTCACTTCAAGATCTCACAATAATGAGCTACAATAAGTTGAAATTAAAAAAAAAAAAAAAAAGAGGGGGAACGTTACAAGAGTTATTTTTGCCAACCTCTGTGCTGTTTGTTTCAATTGGTTTACTCGCTAACAAACCCACAGGCCTTGTTCAAGAAATTAATGGGCCACACAATCGGGTTTCAAGTTGGCCCACTCATCTGCCAATCCAATTGTCAGCAGGATAAGCGGGCTTTGGTCCTACTGGAAATTGTTAGGTCACTTCATTTCCGTGATCAATAAGTGTGTCCTTTTCAATATTATTAAATTGAAAAATGCAATAAAAATTAATTAGAAAAATTGTTTATTTAACAAGCCTAAAACAAGTTAAAAACTCCACTTGAAAATTTTTTAGTATTTTTATTTAATGGAGTTATTTTTTAATTAGAGTCTAACTAATATTTTATCTTTTGGTAGTGCATGTTAATATTGTTGAATGGTATTGATTAACAAGAATAAACTAAAGTCATGTTCATAATATTGTTATACATAAAGTAATGTTATTCATAGTCAGTCACTGCAGTAGTCGTCCTACGTGACAACCTACACGATGATTTGTGATTTTATGTATTAATTTGATATTTTTTTCCTGCCACATATATCAAATCACTAACCGTCACATGCGTGCCGCGTAAGGCAACTCGGTAGGAAGTGACTAAAAATAACATTATTCATCATTTTAATATAAAGTTAAGCCCCATTTGATTTAGTTAAAAAGTTAATTAAAAAAATTAAGTTTAAAATTAATAATTAATTTTAACTATACATTTTTATAAGATCCACAATTTTTAACAACTTTACAATTGCACATTTTATTAACTTTAATCAAAATCTAATTTAAATCCAATTTTTAGTAAAATCAAACAAGGGTCAATGGAGGAGAAGCGGGTGGATGGAGGCATGGAGCGACGGAAAAGATGAAGTGAGACAAAATGGCCCACAGAGAAGTAATAAGCCTGATTAACATTTACGGGTGTCCGAAGTTCCTATGGGAAAGCTAACAAAAGATTCAAAAATTACTTCAAAGAGAACGGACTAAGAGATCACCAAGTCAATTTGACCATCCTCATCTGAAAACATCACGACCTATTTGGCCGACCTCACCAACCAATCAAAGACCTTAAAACTGGGCCATGGAAGCAATTCGAGGTCGACGGTGTAGCTAATATAACATTGGACGGCCAATTGACTTATTGTAAAGGCCTATAAATGGGGTAAATGGTCCCCTACTACAAGCCGAACTCAAAAAATTCTCTTCAATACACCTCAAATTCATATCAATAAAAATAGCCTAAAATTTTCATAAATTCCAGCAATTACTCCCAAAATCATATTAAGTTAATATAAACGCCACATCATTTTTAGTCATCAACAGCATTTATTAAATTGTACCATACACATCCCATCAACACATCAACAACCCAAGAAAAATCATATCAACATTACATTCTTCATTTGGTCATAGAATTTAACTCCACAAACCTGGACTGCTGCCCATTAATTTCATCTAGATTCTAATGCCAAGAAATGGCGGCAATCCAACGGCCATATTTTGCTCATCTTGTTTGAACATTTTCCACAACTTTCTAAGGCCCTGAAAAGTATCATCTCATATATATATATATATATATACACACGTAATACGCAATGAAAAAATCTTATTGTAGAATGTGCAGTGGTCTTCTTTTACCAGATGATATAATAGAATGCGTATATGGAGCGCGACACAATCCGGGCAGGAAAAGATGCAGAAGATGTAACAGAAAGTAATAATCTCTCAAGAGTAATAACGAATTGAATAAAAACCATAGCCACAAATAAAGAAAGCAAAAACACAGGTTTACATGTAATGAAGAAGACGACTACAAGTTTTCTAATGCCTCTCACAATCACCAAACACCCCTGATGCTAGAAAAAGACTTCACGTTGATGCTAAACCATAAAACAAAGCCAGTCACAGATAATAGAGGAAAAAAGATGATCAAGAAAGATTTCCCACAAGGAGTTCAAAAGGTAGTCTAATTTGATAGGCAATACTCATTACATAATTGCCATCTAGAATTAAATGAGTTTGTGCATTTGATGTTGTAGCTTTTCATATTCTCACTATTGCACAATCACTAATCAATACAGACTATACAGTCAAGAAAGAAGGGGAACCATACGACCTTTCATGTCCTAAGCTAGATTGTTTCCAAATGTATCTCAACAATTATGTGCAGTGAAAACAGTAAAATAATAAAAGCGAGCACTTGCTGTCTTTCCAATTTCCTATTATAAGAAAATATGCTCTAATCCATTACAAGCAAAGTCAGACACGGGAGACAAAACATATTACAATAAAGTTATTGCAACTAAGGATCTGAAATGACTAAGACTTCATATAAAAAACTTCGACAAGACAATAATGAAACAGCTTATTATATAACCTCTCAAAATGGTTTCCCATATTCTTGTGTTGGCTGCTCCCACGACCTGAGAATGCCTGCAAGAAATCAAATAATAATGTGTTTAGCTAGGCAGACAGAAGGATAGAGAGAGATCATCGCCCAAATATAGATCTGGGTAACAGATGCATTTTCAAACTGTGCCATGGCTCATGCAACATAATATTTGAAGTTCTGAGAATCAGAAACTCCAAGCTAAATACTAAAACAATGAAAGCTGTAAAGATGTACACCTGACGGACTGAAATAGGCAGGATACATGTATTTCCATCAAACATATTTACCCTCAATTATATTTTATCACATCCAGGGAGCGAGGGGTGGTCAAAAATTTCAAGAATCGGAATGACAGACGGCAGTTATGGGATTCCAATGAAGACCTAACTAAAGACTTAATATGAATAGATATGCAAAAAATGTAGTTTAAATTCACCTGTGAATAAATTAGATTGGTTTATACAAGATCTTAATGGGATTCAGTTAGTATATGCTATTAAATATTGGTCAGAATAACAAGTATTTTGAAAATTTCCTCCTAAATTTATATTCTCTTTCACATCCTTTCTTCTTCTTCTTCTTCTTCTTCTTCTTCTTCTTCTTCTTCTTCTTCTCTCTTATTTTGTTTCTCTCTTGCGTTCTGCATAGGCAGGTTCTATGAAAAAAATGCAATTTCGGTGTTTTCAAATTGAGAAGTGGCTGGTTTGGTCCTGTATATGGTTCACTGTTGAACCCAAGAACTAGAGGATTTCTCTGATTGCCCTTTTTGCGAAGGATCAACCACTTATCTTAAAATTAAAAAAATGAAGAAGCCATCAAATGTTTATGGGTTCAATCCAATTCCAGAAAGAACAGCACCAGCACCGTATAAACCTTGCACATGAACGCACACATTCGTTATGAACTTATGAGGAAGTGGATGGAAGTGAAATAACATACACCATATCTGTCCACAATCTAAAATGAAGGTGGACAGTAAGTGCACGCTACATTGGCCCAAGTATGGGGGGAAAGATCTTTCTTATTTCTGCAAATTCTTCACTTCCGCATAGTTGTCCAATGGACAATGAAAATAATTAGACCCATCACGTATTATTTATCATGAAATAACCAGGATATTGCAGAACTATTCCCCGTCTTAACTTTTGTCCAAATTGACTATTTTGAGACCAAAATACGTTCACATATCCTAAGCGTTTTAAGATATTTCTCAACTATATGTTCAACTGATTTTCAGTAGTAACTCTCAAATATTTTAAAGCACACAATTTTTGTCTTTCCATAAACGATGTTTCTTTTCAAAATGTACTTCACAAATGGAATTGCAGAACACTTTTTAAGCTGAAGAATTAATTCAGAAACTCTCGAAAGAAATCATGGGTGAAGAATTTGGGGCAGACGGAGTAGTATAAAAGTGATTAGATATGTTTTAGCTAGAACCAAACTCAATCTAGAACAAAATCATGCATGTAGAACTTTTAAGTTTCGAGAATTTTTTTTCTAAGGCAATAAAATATCAAAGGCTTCTTCAAATGCCTACATCCATGAAGCTGGGAAGCACAATTCTCATTAAGATATTTCAAAACCTGATATTTGAAGCCTTTTATAGCTCATCAGTACGAATACATGTACAATACTCGTAAGAAATTTTATCAAAATTAATTAAACTGAAATTTTCACATACCTGTTGGTATTTCTCCCAAGGACATGTATATTGAATCATCATCACCAAGAATCCCCTGTAATGACCAGTTGAGTGTTCGTTAGAGCAGGGCGATAATGATGGCAAAAATTCTACACTAGTAGCTATCAATGAGGCAAATGAAAATTTTAGTGAATATGAACTAGATGGATTTTGTGACAATCAGAAAAAAAAAATGACAAACAAAGCACCAAAACGACAAGGTGCAGTTTTCTTTAAAATCAAAGACCTGTAAAGTTCCATTACCTGTCCATCGTGAAGGCCCATATCATTGTGCAGAGCATTCAGCTCTGTGGGAACAGAATCATTTCCGAGAAATTCTGATAACATGAGTCTATAACCATCTTGATGGTCGGGAATCTCAGTGACATTATTTACATTATCAGGAAAGTTGTCCAGCCCATTAAATACAGAATCAGCCCTGTTTCGTTGAAATTGATAAATTCAGAGGAGAACTTCACAATAAGAACACAAAAATAATGTGATGGGGGTAAGCATGTAATGGGAATGCACAAGAAGAAAACAATACACCTAATGAAATGCAAACCATAGTTAATGAAGATTCTACCAAATTAAAGTCCAAAAGTGAATGTTTTCTTTGTGTTCAGAAAAATATGAACGTGTATAAGCAAGGAAAGCTTAATTAATAAAGAAACTTACCTTCTCTCAGCATTAGTAAAAGTTTTGTCTTCTTGCATGGAATCATCTTCCAAATCAATCACTTCGATGTCTTTATTTCCAATTCCATGTTTACCATATTTATTAGGCACATTGGAATTATTACTACTCATGGTCAAATCAATATCTACAGGTGTTGCTTGTCTTCCAGTTTCAGTAATAGACCGAAACATAAGAATAGGATCAGCAGCATGGTTATCATTCACATCAGAAGTTTCTATAAGATTAAGATCGCACGTCTTAAATGAACCAGGAAATAGCTGCTTCTCTTCTGTGTACTCACTTAACTCTACGTGACTTTCAGGAAACAGTGAAATATCTGCACATCTCGTATCAGTAAACAAAGTTGCATGGCCACTATGTGAAGACCTTGGTTCTTCTGAAGTACATTGACTTTCCATTGAGTTGGAAAGGGGCAGGCAGCCATCAGACTGAGTCTCCACTGGGGAAGTCCATTCCCTAGGTCTTTTAGTTCCCTCCCTATCATCAATGTCATCCTCTGGTTGTCGTTTTTCACCTCTCTCCAACATGTGGTTGCTCCTTTCAAATCCAGGAAGCTGCCCATCTATTTCTTGCTGATTAATCACAGATCTCTTGGGAAAAGATCCAGACATTGAGAAGTGCCCTGGCCTTGAAGTGTATGCAACACCCAGTTCTTCCTCCTTGGATGGAGCTTTCAAAACATTAGAGAGGGTGCTTGGTTCATGGCTTTTATGAGGTGAAGCATTAAAAGCGGTACCATCAACAGGCGCATCTATGACTTGGATGCCAGAGTCTTCAGAAAGTTTGCTCTCATTAATGGTCTCGTCCTCAGCATTGGGATCCAGCTCAACCTTTGAACCCCTAATTGCCAATGAAGAACGAGTCTTAGTAGGAACATTTGCAAATTTGCAGTACCTCATCAAGTTAACATTTTCCTCGCTTGCTAAACTGCCCTCACGTAAAGAAGCCGTGACCTCCATATTCTCGTCATGTTTTTGCTCCAATACACTATCACTTCTCCCCTCTTTATCCTCCTCAGCTTCTTCATTGGACATAGTAGTACCATCTGACTTTTTGATGGCTGTTTTGTCATCATCATTTGATGGGACATCCTTCTCATTGCTAAAAGAACCTGGTTTTGCACCTGTATCATCAGCTAAATTGCATTCCTCTAAGCCTGACTGAAGATCAGCCACACTGTCACTCTCTTGAGTTAACTCACCAGCAGATGAATTCTGCACTCCAGTATCACTATCTTTTTGCACAGGCTGCTCATCCTGAAGTCCAGCAGAAATATCGGTGTCAGCCTCCATACCTGGGGAAGTCCTACCCCTATCAGACCACGACTCACTCCTCACAAATTCTGGTTTCCAATCTGAACTTTGATTTTTGGATGAGCCAGTTCTTCTCCTCCCTCTCATAGAACTTTTTGACCCCATCGAGTTATATTCATCAGGATACCTTCTCCTGCCAGGACCTACATCCGCAGCAGCAGTCCCCAAACGGGAATGAGCTGATATACGACTGTCCTCATGATTCTGGAAAAAATCCCCCATCTGGTTCTTCCAGTCGCCATTTTGCCACTTCCCCGAAAGTGCATTTGGAAGCAGGATCCCTTTAGTAACTAAATATTCAGCCGCTAGCCTACCAGCTTCCATAAAAATATCAGTCTCATGCGGAGGCGGGAATGGTGGCTGGAAGGGCTTTGAGGGGCCACTGCGTCCATAGCCACTGCGATTATAGTTTCTATATTCGGAATTATACATCTGATGACCTCTAATTGAACCTTCAGGTGAAATTCGAGAGGCAGCCGCCAGCCTGCCCATCCCCATCCCATTAGGCCTGTACCCATTGCCAGGACCACCACCTCGACGCCTTGCATACATGTTTTCCAAATCCACCGTCCGGATATCACTCTGTACAGGAACCAGTCAACGCAGCTACTAAGAAACCTCCACCAAGATTTATATCTGTTTTAACAATTCCAAATATTCATCAATCTATCAAAGGCTTCATATACAAACCAACTTCACAAGATACTTCATAAAGTCAACCAACATATTTCTAGGCTTAAAGTATATTAGAAACAAAGATACAGTTTTGCCACATCAAATTCCCAGCCAAAAAATCTTCTAGTTTAGCAGCACCTTCAGGGCAAACTAGATGTCTCACCCTTTCTCTTTGGAACAAAACTGAAATTAATGGGTACAATTTTGTTTATTTTGTCAACATATTTATTTACATCCCCTAAAGGTTAAATCCTGAGGCGAATTTAACAGATCTATCTAGAGAGAGGAAATAATCAAAGTTCATCGATGCAGATCTGACGATTTCGTTACCAAGATTTTAAATTCAGCAGCAGTAGTTTACCTTAACTAAAGTGAAGCAAAGCAATTCTGAGGTTTTTAGGGTTTCAGTCTTTGAGATGCAGTTCTCATCAGTTCAATTGCAATCACCTCCTCCATCAAAAAANAGCAATTCTGAGGTTTTTAGGGTTTCAGTCTTTGAGATGCAGTTCTCATCAGTTCAATTGCAATCACCTCCTCCATCAAAAAACTTCATCAACTATATATGTACACACACACACACACACAGTGTATCTATATTCGGTCAAATTTTCACAATCCTTGCAATTTCATGGTCCAGGAATCAATCAATGGATATTGGATAGGTACAGTCTTCCCATTTTAGAGAGAAGATTATTATTAATTTCTCTTCATGTTTCTTTTGGTTTTGGATTTGAGAAGAAATGGACGGGCAAGTGCGTGATCCAATGACATGACATCCTCCTTTTTGTGTTCTTCACGGAGGCCAAGTTTTACATGTTAAGGCCTAAGCGGCCCCGTTTGATACTCGTTTTTTTGAGAGTGTATTTTTCTTTTTTCTTTTTTATCACATATTTTTTTATTAAAATAATATTATACGTAAATAAAAAAATTTCCCTTATTTTTCAACCACACATTTCATATCAATTTACTGTTCAAAAATATATTTTTACATAAAAATACCTTCCAAACACCTAGGTCCAAGCTCAGATTTTAATAAAAATTAGATTTTCATAAATTTCAATAAAAATTGTGCATCTCTTGATATACGTGGACAACTACTAATTATTAACTTTGATTTTAATTTTAATCAAAATTAATTGTTGTCGTTTGATACAAGACATATTTATTGCACGATGTTTGCTTTTGCCTCTAGATCAAGCAGTTAGGACTGTGATCTAGATCTCGAGATTGCATATGTAGATAATAGGATGATTAAAATTAATCCTACGATCTTATTTTTGGGATAATTATGAAAAATAATCGTAGAATCCAAACTAAAATCAGAAGATTTTATTTTACGTTCAAAGATTCATATTTTCTTAACAAAAAATTACAAAATACATCTCTATACCGAGAAACTTAAAAGAACAACTATGAGTCGTGTTAATATTGATCTAACCATGCTTCTTTTGTTTTATTTTACGAAGATCACCCTCTCCTTTGAAGTGGAGAACAACGAAATAATTCGAGTAGGGAAAATTGAATACACCGGTACTCTAAATAAAAGATGAAATATTATAAAGCATGAAATATTAGTAAACACTAAAGACTAGAAACACCCATTATATCGTGTTGCAGGAAGAATCCACTTTAGGCTTATTGGTAATCCATGATCAACTTCCTTTCGTAGTCAATATTTGGGTTCTGATTTAAGTTTGCCTTTGGGCAGCATAAAACCCACAGGCATATCCTGTATTGGTGACTGCTGTCCTAAATATGGATTAGGCCCCAATCCAGCCATTGCCAAATTGGCTTGACCCGATTGATTCATTCCAAAACCAAAGGCATAAGTAGGTCCAAACTGTGGTCTCCTGGGAAGTCCGAAAGAGTCAAGTGATGTCCTTTCGAACTGTTCCATGTTTTGAGAAGGCTCGGATCCGCGTGTACGAGTGAAAGCAGCATGAGGTTGGGTAGGAAGTGTGTTGATATTACTTCTGTTACGAGCAGCGGGAACATCATGTTTGTGCTTCCCTTCGTACGTGGTTATCACCGACTTCAGGTCGTGTGAAGCCCTTTCCACGTGCTTTCTCACGTTGCATCCTGCGCTCGTGCATTTGTAGTAACTCCTGCATCACAAGTACCGGAACATTAGGTTAAAAAATGCTAGCGATCACTGAACTTTTAGCGAACATATGAAGAAGCGATTGACCTTGGATTTGGATTTCCTTTTACAACTTTCTGCCCGTACTTGCGCCAATGATACCCATCCTCAAGGATGCCCACCTCACTGGTTGTCTGAACCACTACTCTTGGCTCACTGATGGCTCTGGTAGCCCCACTCATTTCCGAAGCATGAGTTTCAATTCTCCTACAAAATAGAGAACACAAAAGCACGTCACCCTTTTAGCCTGATAATAATTATTAATCAATCAATTCAACAGAAAAAGTAAAGACCTTCTTTTTGACTCCGATTCATCTCCTTCACCATCGTAAGCTAATGATATGCTGCCATGTGCTCCACGGTCATCTTCGTCATCTGAGAAAGTAGAAGATCCATCAACGTCATCACCCAACTCAAACTGGAAGTGAGTTTGAGCCGGCAAAGAGGTAGCTCCATTGCAATATTCTTGTCCTAATGGTGTCAGCTCGACACTGTCCTGCCCCCAGTCGGCTTGTGGCACACTAGGCCAAACAGGATGATCACTAAAACCTGTGTCAGGTTGTTCAGTAGTGTCAAGCTGCATGTCACCAAGTGCATTCGAGGTTCCAAGGGCTGATCTGCCATTGACTAGAGGTTTAGAGTGATTGTGTGCCCCCTTGTAGGTTATCTCTGTGATGTAACCCTCACAAGAACATTCGACTTTCTTCTTGACTGGACAATTTTCATGCGTGCACTTATAATAACTCCAAGGATACTCACTTCCTTTAACTTGTTTCTGCCCATATTTTCTCCAATTATAACCATCTTCAGCTGGACCGCCCCCAACATTGGGATCAGCGTTGACTCTTTGATCTGCATCCTCATTTTCCGGTCCATCGAGAGGAGAAGAGCGACCTGCAATGCTACCCACAGCATCAAAGTTCCTTGGCTCTGAAGAGATATTATCGCTACTCTTTTTCCTTTGAATGGATGATCTAGAAAAATCAGTCTGCTGGAAAAATTTATCGACGTCAAGAATGGACTGTTGTGGAAGACTGGATGGATTTACCTTGTTAATTGAAATGAAAGCAAAAATAAAGTGAAAACTAACTCTATATATACAATACATGGAATACAAATAACTTGCAGGACAATCAAGTATGCAACTACCAGGGTTTAACCGAGCATAAGTAAATGCATGTAGTGCCTGAGTCTGCACGAATTATTTACGTGCCTTGAGGGGAAAAGGAGTATAATTACTTTGCATGCTGCGCCAGTGTAAGGAGAAGAACCAGATTCCGTGACAGGCTTGAATGTAAAGGACAATGCATCAATTTCTTCAAAAAGATTATCTTTTCCCTTATCGGGATTGTCTGTCATCAATGTTGAGTTTCGACTGGTGCCATTTGGGGCAAATGAAAACTTTCCAGTAGTAGGAGATGGCATTACCTGTAGACAAACGAGCCCGTTGATTAGATTTCTGTAATTTCTGATTTCTTTGGATGTTTAACACAAGAATACGTCTTCGAACAAACAGCAACATGAATAAGATAAATAGACTCTGAATATAAGGAACTATGAAAATCACGTACAAAAACAATTTTTGACAACTCACATATAACTTGAATAAGAATTTCAGTTTTGCTCATTCTCCCTTTATAACATGCTGAACAACCTTTTAAATTACTCCATTATAAGTTACAAATTTTGACGAGCCATAGAATATAAAATTGATCCATTTGAGAAATGAGTATTCGATCTCTAAATTAAAATAAGAGAAAAAAACTAGAACTTCTTTTGCAATATTCTGTTAATATTCATGTGCAGCCAAATTCTTCAAGGAGAAACCATACTCCTCATCAAGTTGAATAGCCATGGCTCGAATCTCCATACAATTCCAGTTGCGCACATGAATAGAGAAAATCTTGCATAAAATGATCTAGCATGCCAACTACACCTGGTTGTTCAACAGTTCAAACATTTAATCTCCCAATTGAGTCGTACAAAAGAGACCACTCAAAAAGGGAGGTCCAAATTTGAGTCTGTGACTCAAAACCCATATTCATTCCCGAGAGAGCGAGAATGCATGGATGTGCCTATGTAAATGCATACGCTTTATACACAGAAATCCCAAAAACAATATTGCTCTATCTCACAAAGGTTCTCAAGATATAATCTGAAGGATTTTTATTGCTGATCTTACCAGTGTATTAGATAGAAAAACAGGCGAATCAAGCAGAGTTGCTGGGCTGAGATCAGGAGGAACTGTCAAACAAGGAGTCTGAATTTCTTGTTTCTGAGAAAGATCATTAGGTCCGATGCTTTCTGTATTCAACCTTGGGGCATTGAAACCAGCTCTAGCCGCCATTCTCTCCACGAGACTCCCATGAGAGCTCAGTTTCTGCTCAGACAGTGGATTCAACTGGCTTCTTATGTTACTAACTAAACTATTTTGTATCTCGTTCTTTTGATCAGTACTTCTGGATGGAACCTGTATGTCAGGTTCCAGGCGAAGAGACCCATCTCGGTTTTCAGTACTGGACTCAGCAACTGACCTTCCTATGACACCATCTCCAATCATAGACGAGAAGAGGGCTCTTGCATTTGGGTTTAGAGACATCCAATCTCCCATAATGGCAACATGGTCGTCAAACTCACTCATGAGATCTAAGAGCCTAATGTTATCAAGCCAAATCAAATGAGTTAAAAGATTGAGGAGTAGCAAGCAATGGGAAAACCTGAAAGAGTTAAACATATCTTTAAACCACAATACCACATAATCCATCAAAGGGAAAGGATGAAGAGCACAAGTTAATGTGTATCATCATTGATCTAGTACTGGCACTAGATTTAGACTTTAAATTGCTCTTATTTGGTGGGAATTTCTTCAATCACATCAATATTCTTATATGAAGAAATAATAATCAAAATACATCCAACGATCACAACAACAGTCAAAATGATAGTATACACAGCAAGCAAATATAGATTCTCCTGCATTAAGATAAACTCATGAATTTTCACGAGTTCTCTTTCAATTTTTCTTCCTCCCCCTCGAGCATGCCCATATTACTATCATTCTCATAAAATAATATGATTCACTAGATTGGAAGACGAAAACACAAATAACCAACTTTCTCACTAAACACCCCACGACGGTAATCTATTCATTTAGTTTTCTCTTAAAGCCGAACAAAATCTATCAGCAGATCAAGTGATCAAAGCAGTGAAAGGCCATAACACAGATGTACTGATTTTATTTTTCAAATCTTTCAAGGCAATCAATAAAAATAAAGTATAATTGAAGTCACTCATGGTTCATTGATCATCAATGACATTTCATTTCCTAAATTAGTCAAAACCGTTTTTGCATGACCAAGCTAAAAACAGTGATTGATTATCATATAAACCTTCATTGTTTACTAAGATCACAAGCAAGAATATAGAAGATAAGAGTATACATCAAGATCTAACAAATTCAAAAACAAAAAGGAACCCAGATTATAAATTCCCCTCATGAACAAAAAATAAAAATAGCAAAATATAAAGAAACTTCAAGAAAATTTAAAATCCAAGTACCAAAATTAAGAAAGGAGAGACCTCTCACCTTTTCGATTAGTTTGTAAATGACAATGAAAAAAGGAAGAGTCTTTCTTCAAAAGAAAATCTTGATCCCGCCTTGCCTTCAATTTGCGCCGTTTCTATATCTAGAAAATGGTTTATCAGTTAGCAAGAAATAAGTGATTTCCCATAAAATGATTTTACAAACTAATAAGGGAAAAAAATGTGGGGTCAGTTTGGGATTTGTTGAAATCCTTTCTGTAGGAAGAGGAATTCAGCTTCGAGGCAGGTTATTTTTCAGCTAAGGTTACCCACGATTATTTTATTGTTATTTTCTCAACTAAATTTTGGTTTTTCGATTTTTTTAAGATATTTGATAGGCCAATAAGTGAAGGCCATTCGTATGAAGAAGTGTGACTGGAACGTGAATTTGAAACATGTGTCTTGAAATTAATGGGACTAATTTTTCATTAGGTGATTAGCACCTAACGTTTTTACCTCTCACTATTAGAGTCTGTTTGGAATTGATTTTGAGAATTAATTTTTTGATTATTAGGAAAAAAGTGAGGTCCACTTATAAAAGAAAAAGTCAAATATGACGAATAAAATAGTGAAATAACGATCAAAAAATCAATTTTTTGGGGAAAAAAATCACTATCAAACAAACTATTAATGTAAAAAATGTCGTTACTTCTTTTTTCAGCATTTTCACTTAATTTCAACCTTTCATTTCGTAAAAGGTCATTTTCATTCATTTACTGAATTAAATGATGTGAAATTATGAATTTACACTTCATTTAAAGTAAAACAAGTAGAAAACGAAAGAACTAACTATAACCATAATTCCAAATTTTTTCAAAAGGTGCAAACGAGTTCTAAATAATTAGTGAAAGGATAATTGGTACATAATGTCCATACCTTTCATTCTTATTATAAAAAAATATTCATACTTTTCATTTTTTGACATTTTAACCCTTAATTACACATTTGATTATGCAAATCATCATTTATAATAACTTTTCATCCAAAAACCATGAAACGACGAATATGACCTCCTATTTATATTTAAAAAAAAAGAAAAATAAGGAAATAATTGCAATCACATTCTCAAATTTTCTTTAAAAGTGCAAACGAGTTACAAATGAATTATTTAAAAAAGAAAGTACATACAAGTCCCAAATAAATTATTAAAAAAATAAAAAATTTCTTAAAATTTCTTTTTTATTTAAATAAGAAAATATATTCGTCATTTCACAGCTTTTATCGAGAAAATTGATGAAAATGAATAGAAAAGATGGTTTGCGAAATTAAAGGTGTAATTAATGGTGAAAGTGTCAAAAAAATAAAATGTATAGACGTTATTCATAACAATAGTAAAAGGTATGGATATTATGTACTAATTGTCCTTTTAATAATTTATTTGGACTTATTTACAATTTTTTTAAAAATTGGAACTATGGTTGCAATTAGTTATTTTTTTCTTTTTATTTTATTTAAATTGAATGACATATTTGTCGTTTTATAACTTTTAATTGAAAAGATGGATGAAAATAACCTTTTGCGTAATGAAATGTGAAAATAAGGATGAAAATATTTAAAAAAAAATGAAAATTAAAAAGTGTTCCACAATAATAGTAAAAAGTAAGGACGTTATGTACTAATTACCCTTTTTTATAATTACATAGATTATCTATCTTGAATCATTTAATATTTCGATATTTCCCTATTTACTTAGTTTATATATTTTTCTTTAACGTTTAGAAAATTGTAGGTGAAAACTTTTTCGGCAAGCTTTCACGAAAGGTAGCATTGAGTATTTGTTAACTGCATGAATTTTGTAACCGAAGAAGAGGGGTCGTCAATAGTTATCCGATTAACTCTTGAGATAAAAATAGTACGAAAATATGTGTTTGCCATAAAGTAGTAATGTATCTTGACTTATTAAAGTTATATGTTTCTAACAAATGTTTATGTCTAAATAATTAAAGTCTCACGTACGTTTAATATTGTAACTCAAGCAATATATTTGATCCGTATTTGGTAGGATAAATGAAAAATATGTAATTAAAAATTAGTATTGTCGAAAAAATAATGTGATGAAATGATCGGCAAACAAAGCCTAAGCATTGGGATAGGGCTGCCCTGGCCCAAGGCAGACCTCATATTTTAGGGGCCTCTAAAAAGCTCAGAAACGTCCACTTCATTTAAAAATAAAAAAAAATTTAATTTTGCTCGTAAAAGAGGAAAACAAACGGTTTCTCCATGAGTCCCCATTCTGTCGGCCCTAATTCCAATCGACAGTCTTCTCTTCATCTTCTCCACAAACGACACTCTGATTCAGAAGGCAGAATTAATCCACAGGTTGGGGGAGATCCTCAAGTGTGAAATCCGCAGGTTGGCCCCTTTCTCCATCCATTATATGATTTGTGATTTTATTGATTTTAAATTTTTAGAGGCGTGTAAATTCAATTTTTTAGGGATTTTTAGTGGGATTATTTATTTGGAATGATTATGGAATATGGATTAGTATTGGGAGCCGTGTGAGTGTGCTGAATAAAAGACAAAGGTTGAACACTTTTATGCTTTCATTCCGGACCATTTATTTGGAATCATTTGCGAATCAGTGACACCAAATTTATTTATAGATTAATCATAAAGAATGACACGTGTAAATAACTTGCCTAAAAAATCTTTTTGGGATTTTGTCTTTTGAGTTGTCTGAATTTTGCACGTACAGATATAAGTTGCTTTATGGATAATGAATTTTTTTTATTTCTTTAACCAGTAGCAAGACGACGGAATGCTTAGGCTTTTTGACTTTTTTAAATAATAATAGAAAAAAATGTATTCTACATTAATATCAGAAGCATTGAATTGAAAGTCATTAGAGGTGGTAACAGGGGTAATTTCTACACATATTTGGACCATAAAAATGAATATTTGGGAGTCAAATTGAATGGATTGCTAATTAATTTGTTTAAATATTGATTGTTGTAGATATATTGAAGTTTCGATGGATTTTGATCAAAATAAGTGGAATTACCAAAGAAAGGTGAAAAGGAATAATTTCAAAATTTTGGGACTAAATTACATATGTTTAAAAGTTGATTCGAACTAAGAAAAGATGATTGAGGAGTACAGAGATTCAATTGGATGAAATTAAAAGATGAAATATTGAAATTACATGAAAAAATGACTTGAATTGTATGAAGAGCAAAATGTATGGACCAAAATGCAAAAATTTCACTCATACAAGGGGTGTATGAGCCAGCCTATGGTATCATATGCAATTGCATCATCTGAACTTGCACCAACAGAAGCTAACTACGTAAAACGATGGGATCGCATCACAAAATTTCATGTGATTGCATGGTTGAAAAATGGCTGATGTAACAATTTCCTTCTACGATTCAAACACATTTTGAAAACAAATTTTTTCGCGGATTTTGACTTAAATTTGACCATTATAAATACAGTACATCATCGAACATCGGAAGATACCTCTCATAAAAATAGATATAATCTTGCAATCACTAGAGACCAATTAATCATTCTTATGGGAGATTTTAAGAGGCAAGATACGAGAACTTAAATCATTTGAAAATATAGCATTGATTTTTAGGCAAAGAAGATGAAGATGCAGCCGTATATCAATCAAAAAACCATTGAAGAGACTTGAGATTTTGTGATTCCTCCCCTTTTTTTTCATGTATCAAGAATCTGGGTGGTATTCTACAAATTAACTATAATTTCTTGTAACTTTGTAATATTAGGCTATATTTTTAGTATCTAAAATATATATATGAACCCTTGCTCAGAAGTTTTAATATAATTTTAATATTTTGAAATCTAATGCGTGTTTATTCTTTGGTGATTATCGTAAAATATAACGCTTTTCAATTATCTTATTAATAATTGGATTGACGTGTGAATTTTATGATATTCGAGAGAAATAATAAGATAGATAGCATACTATAATAATTGTTGTGAGGTCTGATCGAGATATACCGTATGCATTGCATAATTTTAATAAATGTTATAGAGTTTTAATATTTGCTCTTATGCTTGCATCTTTCACAGATATATAGAATATCTTATTGAGATCGTATATCTAATTCTACCCATGACAAATTATTAAATAATTTAGGAATATTGGTTTACAAAAATGAATATATATTGTCATGATATTGAATGGGATTCGAAGCCTTCAATGTATTAAACCTAATCGTACAATAGCTTTCATAAATTGCTCGCTTGAATAATTATTTTAATTAGTTAATTAGTATAATTTTTCATACAAAGTTAGCTATTCGATGAGAGTTAATATTAATTATTATTATATTAAATACATAGTACTCGTACGAAACATTATCTTATTCATCATTACATTTTTTTTTTTTTTTTTTATAACCCAGGTGTCCCAGCTTAGCCGGACTAAATCCTGGACCTCTAGCCCCCGGCCCCTCAGTGACTAGTGGAGGTAAATCGCAGGTTGTGCCCTTATTGGTTCCCAGGTTCCCACATGGCTTTTACTCCTTCCCCAAAGGGACCCTCCTCCATGGTTATTACATCACCAAGCTGCTCCAACCCTTCCTCTGGTTATTACATCACTTGGCTGCTCCAACCAGGAATCGAACTCCCCACACTTGGTTCCAGAGCCCCCCAATATGATTGTTCTGCCAACTTGGATGTGCCCTGGGGGGCCTTATTCATCATTACATTGCTTGTAAATGATACCGTGCACTTACAAATTTACGTGTGATAAATTGGAAAGGTAGAACCGTTTCTTGAAAATGGTTGTCCCGAGCCGGCCCATCTTTGCAAACAACCCTTGTTAAAATTATTATACAATTTACTCACAATAGTTTTAAAATTGAATTTGATTCTTTGAAATTATTTATCTATAATATCTTAAATATTACATCAAGGCAGAATAATTTTTTTGACGATTCTATCTCTACTAAAATTCAATTATTTCAATAATACATTCTTTTCTTTTCTTTTTTCTATGTGTATTTAGTTGAATGCATGTTAATTATTATACATGCATGTAAATAAATAATTGTCAAATTCATTCATAAACATGGAATTTAATTTATTTGAATCAATGAATATATAAAAAGAATAATTTATATACATTTAAATAAAGGGTGTGTGCGTGAACCAACGTAAAATTTAAAAGAATATAGAAAGAGAATAATATATAAACATTTAGACTAAGGATGCATACATGAACCAACATGGAATTTAATTAATTTGAATTAATAGATATGGAAACTAAT